TTGAGGATAGCTAACCACTGGCAATTCGCCCCAGTTATCGTTATTATGGAAGTTGTTTCGAGTACTCAAGCAAAGATTTATGTGCGAAGCGCCATTCCTTATTCCTGCCAGCACACAAGCGAAGCGGCGTGTGTTAATGCTACTACAATACTATTATTAATACGTATTACTATTATTAATCGAAGTAATAGGGTTATATATTCGTTTTTAGAATTAGGAATTTCTAGTCCAATCGAAGAGCCAATGAAATTGTTTCAAACCAACATTCCAACCAATGGTTGTTTGACCCAAAGATATGGCACGCGAATACTTTATAACGTTATGTAATTTTTGAGCAGTATACAATTGACAGTATTAACTGTAAATTGTGCTTCACTGTCAAGTCGATTTCTCCAATAGACTGCCTGTCCAAATTTAGGTGTAGTATTATCACTTCAATAAGAAGACAGCGCCCAAAGCGTAAGCGGTACATCAATTACTACTGTAGTAGTACCTTGTACTGTACTGTAGTATATACAGTGTCAAATATCATCCTTCACAGTACCAGGTACTATATATACGTATAGTAATCATTAACTGTACGCTTACTCTATGCGGTATCAAAGAAATTCCTTCTACTACTCCTAGTAGTACTCAAAAAAGTACTGGCATCATGCTCTCATCGGATGTACCAGTCCTTCCTTTGAATGCAAGGTTAACTGAAAATTACTCCATTCTGTACATCCGTGGACGACGTACTGTACTTCACTTGATTAGCATATACTAGTACAACCTACTGTACGTACAATACTATGTACAGGTGCCTGTACTGTAGTGAACTCAGGAAGAGTACAGTTGTACTGTACAGAATAACAGTCAAATTAGACCATTGTTGATTACATTCCAGAATTAATGTAATTACTATACTTTGGTTCAAATACAGTAGTGCATTGAATATCTTGAGATAGCATAATATGACGCATTTTGACAGTTACGTTGAACTTGATTAAAGTATGTATTGATTATTTTGACGCATTTGGGACGGTTACTTAGACTTGATTAAAGTATTGTGCACACACAACATCGACAACTTGATCGTCCAAAATCTCTACCCCAACGCAGAGAGACTGCGAACACAACAACATCGACATCGACAACAACATCTTGATCGCCCGAAATCTTCACCCCAACGCAGAGGAGACTGCGAACATCGACAAAAACATCTTGATCGCCCGAAATCTTCACCCTAACGCAGAGGAGACTGCGAACACAACATCGACAACAACTTGATCGCCCAAAATCTCTACCCCAACGCAGAGAGACTGCGAACAGACAACAAAAATATCGACAACGAACAACGACATACATCGCCCGAAATCTTCACCCCAACACAGAGAGACTGCGAACACGCCCGAAATCTTCACCCCAACGCAGAGAGACTGCGAACAACTTGATCGCCCAAAAACTCTACCCCTACCCAGAGGAGACTGCGAACAACATCTTGATCGCCCAAAATCTCTACCCCAACGCAGAGAGACTGCGAACATCGCCCGAAATCTTCACCCCAACGCAGAGGAGACTGCGAACAACTTGATCGCCCAAAAACTCTACCCCTTCCGCAGAGGAGACTGCGAACAGCATCTTGATCGCCAAAAATCTCTACCCCAACGCAGAGAGACTGCGAACTATTACATACCGCTTACGCTTTGGGCGCAGTCTCCCTGTGAATCGTCGTACTACTTTGTTATCCTTAGTACTACTTTTGTAGTATCGCCAAATCCCTCTATTGATGTTGTGTGGAAAGAGTACTCCTGTTTTGAATGTTACTCCACTTGATTAACGTATACTACCTCCGATTGGAAATGAAGGTAGTACAATAAACAATACTGAACGTATACTATGTAACGTTAGGCCCTGTTCCAAGTAGGTATTTTTATCAAATGAAAAAGTGGTTCGAAGTACAGTTTCCTACTTTTTTACCTCTTTTTCTGCGATTTTACGATACGGCCACACTATGGCACCACCGCATCGGGCACTTGCCCCTCGACACCTTGTGCACTTGTGCTAACGCGGTCTTGGGACTACCACCACAGCTCGGTGACATGGCGCGCCCATGCATGGACTGCCCCCGCGCCAAGATGCACCGCGTCACTGTCCCCAAGCAAGGGACTCGAACGTTCCTACCAGAGGAATGTTGGCACTCGGACTAAAAAGGATCTTTACCTACCGTGTCCACCGGCGGCTGCCTCTATTTCACGGCCTACGTTGACGCCGCCAACGGCTACAACATCGTCCGGTTCGTGCCGTCCACCGGCGCCGCCGAACAACAATCCAACCTGGAGGAGATCCTGGCATTCTCGGCACACCAGACCGGCCACCAGGCAAAAGTATTCTAGTCCGAGTATTCATCCCACGCACTTGACGACTGATTGAGATCTATGGGGATCAAACACGAGTCATCATCTGCTGGTTACCAATGTCAAAACGGCGTGGCCGAATGTGCACACCGTACCTTGATGGAAATGGCGCTGGCCATGCTCGCCCACGTCAACTTGCCCAATTGTTGGTGGGCCGAAGCCGTCAACACGGCAGCGTTCATCTGTAACCGTGTCCTGCAAACAACCCAGTGCGTCAAGACGCCACTCAAACTGTTTTGCGGCCACGTACCGAAACTCAACAACATGTGGGTCTTTGGCTGCAAGTGCTTCACTAGTGAAGCACCCCGAGCGCCGCAACAAGCTCGCCCCAAGGCGACGTTGTGCATCATGATGGGCTACATGGAAAGCATGAAGGCCTACAAGCTATGTGACGTAGAGGTCAGTGCATGTTACCTTCATGGAATCCGAAATCTTCGGCGACTCGAAGCTTCCGGACTCTATCGACGAAGATGACGATGACGACACCGACACGAAACCCAACTCCGGCAGCCACCCGACCGCAATCGTCAACCGGGCCATCCAAGCGGAACCGACGTATTTCGAGTCAGCCTTTAACACCGTTCGTCGTGTAGTGGACAGTGAGGTCGACACTCCACCTGCCCGTCCGGCCGATACTACGGAAACTCGTTGATCTGTCGGCACTACACCACACCGATCAAAACACAACATGTCGTTGGATCTATCTCATCTTAAACGAGCATCACACTCGTCGTCACTACCCGACACGCCACACTACACTTCGACAACATCGCACTTCCGCCAGGCATCCAAAACCGCACCGGCGGCAGCGCACAAACCATCGGGTTTCACAAAACCATCATACTGCTATACAATCATACTGCTATACACCAAACATTCGCTCGAGTCTAACGACACCAGCCCACTAAAACACCCGGTGTGGTAAGGACGACACTACAGCAAACATCCGTAACGTCCATCGCCAGATCGGCCCCAACTCCACCAGTCGACGACTACCACAACCACTCGTTCAGTGACTTGATGTCGTCCACAACTCACCCCACGTCGACACTCTTCAGCGAGAGGGAGCGGCGCGGCGACTGAACGTTGCTCGATGAACAAGTCGCAGAATCAACTGAAGTCGACGATGATGATGAAATCATGATCTGGACGATCGACGAACGTCGAACAAGACAAACAAACGAACGATGAGTCCCCGCCGCCCTCGAAGAACTGGCATCCCCTGCCAAAAGTAGTCGCAAGTCAGCAACGTTGGAAAAGAAGCGCCCCTGTACCCTCTGCGCCGGGCCCACGATGCGGGTGATCCTCCCCCACAACGACGAACAAGCGGCGCATATTCGACGCACACAAGGTCGATATATATATGTATATATATCAAAAGTAGTAGAATGCAGCATTTTTGGGGACCTACTGTCGTGCCGATGAATGATGGCTACCTCAGTCAGTACTGTCTTTGAGACGCCATGCGCATTATTGAAATTTCAAATACGATATTCTAATACTTCAGGTATTATCGCAGTAATGGCATTCGACACTACTGTAGAAACGCTCAATGATTCAAAATAAACTTCAGTTGTTGTTTCGGTGGTTGCGTTCTCACGGCGGCTTCAGTACGTAGATGAACCAAGCAACAAGGAAGTATTACTGTACGCAGTAGTTAGTTCTCACTCTACTTCCTCACCATTCTGTTCGTGAATGGTGAGATAGAAGCGGGAAATACAAACAACTCACCAATGTGACGACGGCCAGAATTGCTCACAAATCCCCATTTCTTGTTTGTGATTGGTCCATTTTGTCTTTGATGCATATCAAAGCACAGTAGTGTACAATAGATAGCCCCATACATATATGTACGATAAAGAACTGTGTATAAAATAGGTATTCTGAAAAATACATATCATGGAGTGGCGACGGAGGTGGAGCTAGGCAGTTTCAATCCCTTGACTGGGGGTGTCGACGTTGGCCGACATCGCCCAAGTGTAAATCCGCTGCACCAGTCCATAGACCGACCAGAGCATCGTCTTGGCCACGACCACCGCCTTGGTCACGCTCGTAGCCGCTGATCGCAGCGCACACCACGCCTTGGTCACGCATGTGGTCAGGAACTGGCCCAACGACGCACCAAGTGACCACCACTGGGCCTCTGCCGCGTGGCACGACGAGCCAGCCACCGACTTGGGGGCCAACTCAATGGAGATGACAACAGGAACCACCGTGGCCGCCGACATCGTCTTGTTCCCGTCGCGGCGGGGGGTCGGCGCTGGACGCAATTGGCGCCGCAGCGGAAGGTGAGGTCGGGCCACAGACGTGGCTGACATTTGTTTCTTGCGAAGCGCCGCCGTGAGCTGAGCCGACGCGTGCTCCGCGATGATCAACGGTCGTTGGGGCAGCGGCGGGATCTCTGCGACTTGATCCATGCGCTCGCTCCTGTTCATATTCTTCATTCACGCGACGACATGGTAGACTGGACCGTACCATGTCTCGGCAAACGCGCACAACGCTTCGCGGGCCGCCGCGCGAACAAAGTCTTTGGGATCTTGAATGGCGCCACTGAGTAGGAGCAGCACATCGTCGCAGTGCTCGGCCAGTTCAGACTTGGGCCATACTCTCACGACCGTCGTCACTTGCTGCACGATGAGGCATCGAGCCTCACCTACCAATGGGGTGACCAGTGCACACACATATATACATACATATCAAGTCACGTACTGGTCCGCGATTGTCGCCACAGGGACACAAGGATCTTCATGTCGTACTTCGACACGGTGGAGATCGTCGTGAGGCAGTCTTTGCCAGCTTGACGAAACACCTGGACTTTGTTAGGCGCAGTGCTCACCAGCGACGGGAGCACGACGTCGGCAAACGGCGCGAAGGCCGTTCCGCTCATCTCGGCAAACTGTGCCACCGCGCCGCACGCCTTCTTCGCCACCTCGGAGCGGTCGGAAGCAATTAGCTTTGTGATGGGTGTCTACAAGAGTCGTGAGGAAGGCAAAGGACGCCGTGGCAACGACATACGGCCACGGGCAAGAGGCAAGAGGCAACGATCGCCTTGGAGTCGACGTCATGAACGGTGTTGTCGACAGTGTCCAGCACGCTCTGCACGCCGGCCAACTCTTGGAGTTGCAGTCTCCAAGACTCGGGCCCTTGCAGCAGAGCGTGGAGCAGTCGATGCGTCTACAGGTGATAACGGGCGTCAGAGGTCGTGACGAGAGGAGTCGTACCTGAGTTTGAAGCTGGTTTAGGAGCACCTCCATAGCACCGAGCTTGAGCTCTTGCAGGAAGTCCGCCGCGGCGTGCTTGGCATGGGTAAACGTGTTCATGTCGATGATGCTGGACGGTAAGAAATGAGCGGCCCAACGGCTTCTTGAAGTAGTCCATACAAACACCAAGTGAAGTGTCGTGTTCTCTGTGACGCGGCGCACCATATAAACAAACAAACGCCAAGGCATTGACCACATAGGAGCATGCATCCATGTACAAGAGCAATCGATCCTTGCAGTATGAAGTGACGTCAATGCCAACCTAACCCAACTTGAATGCCATACTTGGTTTTATTAAGCAGTCGCGTCCGTCATATCTTGGTTGACACTGAGCACTTTGGCGGCTTGGATCATGTCCTTGTCGCCGCGCAGATCATGCGATGGTTTCGATTTGGGGAATGTTATCCGGAATTACGGATAAAGTGACACTTGCCTGGATCCATTCCAAGCAAATGGACACGATGCTGGCCCTTGGGTACTGTATGCGGCCTCGGCATTCATGGGCCTGTGTTACATCATGCACAACCAAGAACGTAATTACTATAGTTGTAAGGAGTCTAGTGACTGCAGGAACAACTCTTCACGATACCTCGCAGGAACTGCTGTTCTGTTCGACGTTTGCTCGTCTTAGCCGTGAAACGCGTCAAAGTGCAGCGTCACACTGTTCAAACGAAGTCACCACAAATCACTTGTTAGAAGCCATGGGAGGTCAGTAATTCCATTTACAAGTCAGTTAACGTTAACATTCGATTACTCTACTTTTTCTATACTACGGTAGTGCGTATTATTAATAATATCGATTACACTACTCTAGCACGTATTAATATACTATCGTATTAGGATTTAATAATGGGCGATTAAAGCAATCAAACCAGCGCGTATGGCGATACGGGGATAGGGGATACAGAGATAGGGGGATACGATAATACGGCAATACGAGGTTCGGGGGGGTTACGGCGATAGGGGGGATACGG